AGTCCTATCGTAGCACCGAAACCGCAAACCCTGCAGAAAAGCGCGGCCTAATACGGACTTGTGTGGCCCTATGTGCACACCCAAGCCTATCCTCAAGCACATAGATCGTTGAGCCCCCGCCCATCACAACGAGGCATTCGCAGGGGTTCAGCTTGTCTTTGCCATCGCGAATGTCGGAGTCACCGTGACGCTGGAGTCGACTGGTCAGCAGAAGAGTTTCTGTAGTTTCTGCAGGTTCTGCCACGGGAAGCCTCGCGGATAGATTTTGGTGTAGTATTCAGGGTCGTCTTCAAGCACGTTCTGCAGGGATCGCAGCTGCTGGCGGCAAAAACTGTTCGTGAACTTATGCCACAAAGGTTTGCCACATGATCGGAAAAGCGTGATTTCAGGGCCGAAGCTTAGGAGAGAGAGAGAGAGAGGGATAGCGAGAGACGGAAATCGAGTGTGAGAGAGTGCGCGCGTGTCCGCCTGTGTGTATGTATAGAGTATATACACAAATGCAGACATAGATATTCATACAGATATGGATATGCATTTTGCTAAATAGCAAGCCTACTCAGTCGGTCAATCAATCAATCAATCAACCAACCAATCATCCACTCACTCGATCACTCACCCAATCGATCTTTTCGCTCACTCGCTCACTCACCGACGCGACGAACCAACCAACCAATCAGTCGGTCAGTCAGTCAACAAGTGAAAACAAAAAGCAACTAATAGCTAATTGGGTTTGTAGAACGAAGAACAATCAAAGAGGTATTGTGCAATTAAACAGATGACACAAATCTACGGAACCAATCAACAGATGGAGGTACATCTATGCCTGTAAGTGCAAGGGCAAGTGCAAGCACAAGGCTACGCCGAAGTAAGCATAACTGCAAGTATCAGCTGTGTGCATGTAGGTGTAGGCACGAGCTTGTGTGCCCATGCCTGCGTGGAGGCCGTTGCCACAATCACAAATATCCGCAAACTCTATGTCCAGAACAGTGTTTGTGTTTCTGTCAACACCAAATGATAAAGAAAACAGGTTCGGGGCCTGCTTTCCTTACTCCACTGGTGCAGAGTGTTGGAGAAATTTCGCTCATGTCTAAGTTCGTTCTCCAGTCCTGCCACTGCTGAGTTGTCGAGGGGTGACAAACTCATCGAAGCCATTCGGAGCCGACACGCGCGGATTCGGTCGGACCTCGGAGCGGAATCGAATCGTCGAGGTGCCAAATTTGTCTTCATGCATTCCGAGCGTGAACGCGTATAGGGGAGTTTGGGGTCAGCGATCTAAGCCCTGTTTCAGGCACGAGTGGCCAGCTTATTCCCGGAATCCGAATCCCACGACTGCGGATGCTCTTGTTTTTCGAGGTTCGGAGTTGGCGCGAAAGCCCAGAACCTCCAGAATCTCTTTCGAGCTCAGGATATTGGATTTATATATATATATATATATATTTATTTATGTATTTATTTATTTCTCATTCTGTGGTCCTCTCGCGCCCTGAACTGAAACCTCGGTCGGAAAAGCCCAGGTACTGGGTGACTTCTCACATCAGTGCCCTCTTGGATGCAGAGTCCATGGTTGGAAGCTTTCGGAGGATGCTGCGAGGCCTTCGGTCTTGCTGGGCTCCATGTTGGATACTTTGGATTATGGCAGGACCATGGCTTTAGAGCTTCTTGGTGGTTTTGGACTTTTTCTCTGGGTTTCACCGGCCCGCAATGGGTTTAAAGTAGCAGCCATAAGTGGCGGGGAGGCCCATGCTCAGGGCGTTGAATTTTGAAGGATCCTATACGGAGGTAGTGCATCAAAGCGATAGATGTTGCTCGCAGGCTCGAGACCTTCAACCCTATGTATGCTTGGTGTTGCCATTAACCCGAAGCCCGGAAGCCAGGAAGTCCCGAAAGCTACGCAGGTTTCTTCTGTGGGCCATGGGAATTCCGCGCAAACATCCAACGACCCTTACAGCCTTGCATGTGAGGCGTCTGCGATGGTGAGGTTCTCTTGAAGGAGGACATGAGCATCTGTGAGAATGCAGAGTGCATCAAGCAACCTGCCTGGTATGGCCATGGTTCGGCTCTGGGCACGTCACGGCGATTGCTGTTTGACGGGATAATGGTTCAGCTGAAAGAAAAGTTCGAGTTCGAAAACTTTGTAATTTATTCAGAGCTGGATCTGCATGCATAGTCCAGTGTGCGGCCACACCTGGCACCCTCCACCTTGAATGGCGCATTGAACAGCCGCTCCGTCCGCTGTTCTCAGCATGGCAATGTTGAGCATCTCATGCTGCTACCTAGAACCCCGGAGTCTCGCTTTTCGCATCCGGATTGCCACCTGCAGCTGAAGCCCGCAAGCTGTTGCCAATCCCTGGACCAACGGGAAGCTTAGAACTTGCAAGAGACGTCAGGCCCAGAACAGCCACTTAGAGCTCCAGGATGAGCATGGGCGGCCTGTGCTTCTGTGCAAGCTTCGTTTTCGATTTGACTGTAAAGCCTAGCGTCTCCACCTTGAGCTCAGAAAGTATTGCTTGCAGGACTTCCGTCCCCAACCCACGAAATCTCGTGCAAAGCCCCAGAGTCAAGTGTTCGATCTCTTGCCGGCTCCTACAAAACTAAATGTGGGAAAGCGCGGACCCTTACAGTAAGTGCGAAAGAGGGCTGCTGCCGGACCGGACCCAAAGCGGATCCCGAGATTCTCCCGCGCTAAACGATTTGCCGTGTATGCTAAGCCTTTGGCTCAGACCTTTGCCCGGCCCTTGCTTTCACCAAAGCGAAACCTGTCTCTTCACTCGTCTTGCCCGACACCTTCACCGCTTCACACCGAGCCACGAGCACCTTTGATCCACGGATGGTCTTTGCAAGAACGTGTCGCCCAGGCATTTGCTCATGACGCAGAACAGCTTTAAAGGACGGTGTTTTGCAGTTCAGGTTGTTTCGGCTAAAGTGGGCAAAGCGACAGGGTGCGGTACGTTTTGTCATCTATAGGCAGTTGGAACCTACGTATGCTTTACGTTTACATGTTGCTCACTAACTGCCAGTATCAACTCCACCACCAGCACTACGGGGACACACGACTACTACCACAAACTACTACTACTACTACTACTACTACTACTACTGCTACTACTACCACTACTACTGCTGCTGCTACTACTACTACTACTACTACTACTACTACTACCACTGCCACTGCCACTGCCACTGCCACTGCTACTGCTAC